GTCTCGAACTGTTGCCCCAGGTAGGGTGCTGTGATGTCATAGCTTACCACAACCTCAAACTTGGGTTCAAGCGATCCTCTTGCTTCAGTTTTTCTATTTTAGTAGAGAAAGGGTCTCCTTTAACTCAGGCTGGTCTCAAACTTGCGAGCTCAAGCAGTCCACCCTCCTTGGCCTCCCAGAGTGCTAGGATTACAAGTACGAACCACTGCACCTGGCCTTGCTTTACTTTTCTGTAGGCCTTTCCCACAATTGTTGCTCACCCATGCCACTCCAGCCACACTGCCTCCGGCTGTTTGTTCCTTATATATGTCAAGTACACTCCCTTCATAAAGCATTGCTCTGGCTGTTTCTTCTGCTAGAATAGCTCTTCTAGAAGAGCTAAAACTCACCTTCTTCTAAGGATTTTTTTAATTTCACTTCACTGAGACCTTATGAAGACCCTATTTCATACTATAACCTGCCCTCTTGATACTTTATACCTTAATCTACATATTTTTTATCTAGAGAATTTTTTTTACCTGCTAGGAATGTAAGCAGAGATTTTTATTCAGTGGTATCTGAAGGGCCTAGAATAGTGCCTGGCACATACCATACAGTCAATAAATATTTTTGTTGAAAAAATTAAATGAATGAATGAGGCAGATATGGCTTGCTAATGTTAGGGAAGGGAAAATGAAGAAAGCAGATAACCTAGTTTTGGCCCATATCACTGGACAAAAGGTAGTGCAATTTCTTGACGCAGGGAAGCCTGGAGAGACATACGATTTAGGAGTCAAAACAAGAGTTCCATTTTGTATGGAGCTCCACTTAGTTAGAGGTATTTATTAGAGATCTCAGAGACAATGTCCAGTAAACATCAGATTCATGAGTCTGGACCTCCCTGCAGAAGTTGGGGCAAGCAAGAGACATGTGGGAACCTTCATCAGTTATAGGTAGATTTAAAGTCATGAGACACAGATGAGACATCTAGATAAAGAAGATTTCAAAGATTGAGCCCTGATGCACTTAACTAGGGGTGTCCAACCTATAGCCTGTGGGCCACATGCAGTTTATGTGAGGACTGTTTTCCATATCTACAATGTCAGATATTGATTGCTCACCAGCTTTCGTTATTGTTTGTGTATTTAATGTGTGCCCCAAGACAACTCTTCTTCCAATGTGAAGCAGAGAAGTAAAATGGTTGGACACCCTTGAAGGGAGGGGTAAGGTAGCTGCCCATGAGATGAAAAGGAAACCTGTAAAGACCAAGTGTCCCTGAAGAAAACAAAGGAAGGAGAGAGCGACCAAGAGTATCGTAAGCTGCTGAGAGAGTGAGTAGGATGAGCTCAGAAAACTGGCCCTTGATCTCTTGACCTTGGTAAAAGTGAATTCAGGCTATGGTGGGGGACAAAAGCATGATTGTAATGGTTTAAGGAGAGCTTACAGAGCTACTGGAGCTCTTGGTAATGGTCCCCTATCTATTCTTAAATAGCGGAGTTAGAAGTAAACCCAAATCTTTTCCCCCCCAACATTCCACCTGAGTGGCTTTATTCAGCTGTGGGAATTAACACAAATCTTGATTGTGATGATGGTTTAGTGAGTTTATGCATGTCAAAACTTATCAAAGTGTACACTTTGCAGTTTATTGTATGTCATTTTATTGTGTGTGCAGTTTTTCTTTTTTTTTTTTTACACAGAGTCTATGTCACCCTCGGTAGGGTGCTGTGGTATCACAGCTCACAGTAACCTCAAACTCTCGGGCTTAAGCGACTCTCTTGTTTCAGCCTCCCAAGTAGCTGGGACTACAGGCGCCTGCCACAACACCTGGTTATTTGTATTGCAGTTTTCATTGTTTTATATGGCCCAGCCTAGATTTGAACCGGCCAACCTTAGTGTATGTGGCTGGCGCCATAACCACTGTGCTGTGGGCACTGAGCCGTGTGTGCAGTTTTTCTTATGTCAATTATACCGCATAGGCTCGTTGCCTGTGACTCAAGTGGCTAAGGTGCCAGCCACATACACCTAAGGTAGCGGGTTCAAATCCAGCCTGGGCCCACCAAACAACAAGGACAGCTGCAACCAAAAAATAGCCGGGCGTTGTGGCAGGCGCCTGTGGTCCCAGCTACTTGGGAGGCTGAGGCAGAAGACTCTCTTGAGCCCAGGAGTTGGAGGTTGCTGTGAGCTGTGATGCCACGGTACTCTACCCAGGGGGACAGCTTGAGGCTCTGTCTCAAAAAAAAAAAAAGAATTATACCGCATAAAGCTGTTACCTCCTCCCACCCTAGAAAAAAGTGAATCCAAGCTCCATCGCACCGTGATTTATGCCTGCTGGCTGGCTACACTTCTTCGTTGACAATCGTACTCTTCGGGATTTTATGACGGATCACAAGACATTTTCCTTAGTCGATGTACCATGTCCTCCTTTCTGCCTTTGACCAGACGTAAATGTAAGGTAGAAGATAGCATCTGCTTTAAAAAAGAAATATGCTTCAACTCTTTCATATTAGTAGGAAATTATTATGTTCATTCCTTTAGTCTCGCAGCGTCGCAGGATAACCAGGTCAGGTTTTCCAGACTGTCATAAATGCTCTGCGGACGCCACGGGAACAGGTGGACACCAGCCCCGCCCTGTCATTGAAAGCCACGCCTACAGCGGGCTGCGGTCACGCCCCCAAGGTGACAGCATTGCTCGCACGTGTGCCTCACCCGGGCGGAGGCGGGGGCGGGCGTAGGACAGCCCGCCCCATTCGAGGCTCCATGCCTCCGGAAGCGGAAATAGCACCGGGCGCTGCCACAGTATCGGTAACTGCCACCGCGATGCCGAAGGGTCCCAAGCAGCAGCCGCCGGAACCCGAGTGGATCGGGGACGGAGAGAGCACGAGCCCAGGAGGTGAGGTTGATAGGCAGAAAGGAAATGGGAGGTGAAAGACACGAGAGTGGAGAGTGCACGCGTCTTAGGAGAGGGTCATGGGGCACGAGACTAGCCAGGCCCTTGCGTGGGCTATTGCGCATGCGTGTCTTGGACCTGCGATGAGTTTGCCGTGGCAGGAGTGGGCTTAGAGTGAGGGCACGAGAAAATGTACCTGGGTGTTGCACGTGACCTTAAGTAGGACTGGGCAAAAGAAAAGGAAGAGCATATGGTACCGAGGCAGAGATGGAGAGAAATAAAAGCGTCCTGCTTTCTTTTTTGGACATTCTTCCCACCACACGGGAATACATAAACCGTGTCGAGGCTGTCCCCTGTGCGCGCACATAGCTAGGGAGCCTGTGATCCCACTTGTTTCTCCAGAAAGAGTGACTCTCTCATGGGTTCTTTTTCTTTTTTTTTTCTTGAGACGGAGTCTAACTGTGTCACTGTCGGTAGAGTGCCGTGGCGTCACGCCTCACAGCAACCTCAAAATCTTGGGCTTAAGCGATTCTCTGGCCTCAAGCCTCCCAAGTAGCTGGGACTACAGGCGCCCGCTACAACGTCCGGCTATTTCTTTGGTTGTAGTTGTCATTGCTGTTTGGCAGGCCCGGGCTGGATTCGAACCCGCCGATTCCCATGTATGTTCCTGGCACCCTAACCGCTGAGCTGCAGGCGCCGAGCCTCAAGGACTCTTATATAAGACATCCATCAATTTAGGTAGGCGTCCTCAAACTAGGGCCCACTGGCCACATGGCGGCCGCCCGGTGTTTTTGCCACTGTTACCTGTCCTGCTTAGCAGCTGACTTGTCCCGGGGCCTGCAGTCCCGCCCTCCAACTGTCTGAGAGACAGTGAACTGGCCCCCTGTTTAAAAAGGTTGAGGACCTCTGAGAGTCTCAGCACCTGTAGCTCAGCGGCTAGGGCGCCAGCCACATACACCGTAGCTGGTGAGTTCAAATGCAGCCCGGGCCTGCCAAACAGCAGTGACAACTACAACCAAAAAATAGGCCGGCGTTATGGAAGGCGCCTGTAGTCCCAGCTCCTTGGGAAGCTGAGGCAAGAGAATCGCTTAAGCCCAAGAGTTTGACATCCATCTAACTAAGCTGAAGCAAGAGTGTAGATTTTGGAATGAGGATTAGGTTTACTTAAAAGCAGTGAATGTTTGTTGAATGCCTATTTTTAATTAAGTACTATAAATACTGTTTGGGGAGGAGAAAGAAAAAACATGAACACACCCAGGTTTGAAGGCACTTTAAGAAAGCGAGAAAATGGACATAACAGCAGTGGGTACACAGTGACTACTTTTACAAGTATTTATTGGATGCTAACTGTATAGTAGGTACTGTGTGACAGAACTAGAAATGTAAAGGCAGAAATAACCCTAAAGGAACACCAGTCTGGTGGAGGGCACAGTCATTAACCAGGCAGTGGTTGTCAGGGTGATGAATGTGTTTGAGAATGCTATGGGACTGAGGAAGAGAGGAGTGTCAGCAAAGGCTCCCAGTTCGTTCTTTTTTTTTTTTT